GGACCTTTTAAAAGCTTGCAGATTGTGTTTAAGGACAGAGCTGGAACAGGGGAGGTCACGTGGAGAAGGTAACCTTGGAGAGGCCTGACCCAAGGAGGTGTGGGGACCCTGGACAGAAGGGCCATCTGAGGTGAGGAGAGGGGAAGGAGCTGGGCTGACCCCAGGCATCGCTTAGGGGCCCCAGCAGGTTTTCAGGGGGCTGTAAGAGGAGCCCTGAACTAGTACACTCTTGTGTGCTTGATTCTCTATGGGGTCTGGAGCCTGAATGTGGAACACAGCCACAGGTTTAAATCATATTTTCAAAGGAACCCATACCTCCGAACACTAAGACTGATGTGACTGAAAGTGTCCATGTCTTGAAGGACCCCGTCCTCGGGTCTCACCTGGCAGCCTGGTGCCCTTCCTCAGTGCCTTGTCCCATGCAGCAGCTCTGCCGTGAATACGGTTCAACTGCCCCAGCCTCCTGTTCAGTCACTGCTTCCTCTGATGCAGCCATTCCCCATCTGAGGCTGGGTTCAGACTCCCCTAATGCCACACAACCATCCCAGGTCCCCACCACCACCACCGCCCCCACCGCTTCCTCTCATACTCCGAGTCCAAGCATCTGCTTTATATTTGGACCTATTTCCTCTCTTCCCTAGTCAGGGGCAGAATCCATGGGAGAGAGACTGTGGCTAACTTGTTCGATGTTCAGTTCCTAGCACCTAGAACAGACTCTGGGATGTACTAGACACTTAGTAATTAATGGGATGGATGGAAGGATAGCTGCATGCATGAGTGGGTGGTTTGCTGCATTGGATAGGTACATGAGTGGATGGATGTATGGATGGATGGATGGATGGATGGATGGGTGGATGGATAGTTGGATGGATGGATGGATAGTTGGATGGATGGATGGATGGATAGATGGATGGATGGATGGATGGATGGATGGATGGATGGATGGATGGATGGATATAGAGGCCATAGTATTATGTCTTATGGCCCTATCTTGCTTACATGACCCTAAGCTCCTTGAAGAAACAGAATGTCATGTTCCCCACTGTGTTGTATTGAGGTTGGTTGCGGGGTGGGGGTGGGGTCACTGTGGGCTCAGGACTTAACAGTTGAAGGACCGGGTTCCAAATGCCTTCAGTCTACAGACAAGGACATCCAAGTCCAGAAAAGAATATGACTTAGCTTCACAAAGGAAGTCCCCGGCTGCCACCTCTCTGCCCCTCTTCTCTCCTGAGACTGTTGGGGACAGGTCTTGTCTCTTGAATCATCTTTGTGACCTGGCTGGAGCTGGTGGGACAGTGGCCGATGCCCTAACTGTGGCAAAAAAATCTGGAGGCCACTGGAATGCCCGCCTCTGATTTAAATCCTGAGTGTCTCCAAGAACTTGGAGATGAAAGGCAGAAGCCCTGCTCTCTGAGTTTGAGTCTGAGCCTCAACTTTACCATCACCTGTGGGTGGAATAGCATCACTCACGGTTGCTAGCCCGGGATTCCTTCAGCTCTAGGGGCCAGCAGGATGACTCAGCGTGTAAAGGTGCTTACCGGCCAAAGCTGTTAACCTGAGCTTGATCGCAGGGACTCACACAGTGTGAGGAGGAAAAGACCTCCCTGAAGTTGTTCTTGGACCTCCACGCGCGCTGACACCCGCTCCCCACATGCGTAATCTTTTTTTTTTTTTTTTTAATGAAATTGAAAAGTCAGGTCTAGACAAAGGAGAAAGCGTCCACTCGGTCTCGTTCGGGCTCCCGGTAGGTGGACAGCGGTAACTGGAGCCTGGTGGAATGTGCTTTGGGGTTGTAGGGCCTCACTTAGCTTTCTGGGCACCTTGTTCAGTGGCTGTGATTTTCCAAGGTGACACTGAGGCCTATCGAGTCTTTTCAAGGACCCAGAAGCACCAGAGCACCCTGGCACGGTGGAGGACGGGGCTGCGGGGCTCCACTCCCCAGTCTCTTGGCCTGAAATTACACCCCTGGGATCAGCTGACCCATGGGAGGTGTGGGTGAAAGGGGGAAATAAGTCCTTTGTCACCCAAGGGATGACTCCTCATGTGCTGGCTAGCAGCCCCAGAGAGATTCCTAATCCCAGGGCGAAAAGCTCTCACAACCTGACCGTGCCCTTCTGCCCAGGCCGGTCTCTCCCCATCCCCACAGAAGTCTCCCCTTCCACTTACCAAGATTGAGACACACTCCCAAGCCCAGACAGCCAGCTCCTCTGTACCACACACGCTGGGATCTGTGTGCTTCTTAGACACAGGAAGGAACTGTGGCCTGTAGCTGTGGCCATCTTGGCCCAGATCTCAGGCTAGAGGCTAGGATTCCCTGTCACGTTTAAGCACTACTGGGCTCTGAGAACCCCCAAGTTCTACAGCTGCATCCCAGGCCATTTGCCGTTGGTGGGGACCCACTTTCTGACTTACGCCTGAGAGAGCTTGAACAGGCTCCACCACCACCACCGGGGCAAGACTCCTTCCAGCCTGGACCAGAAGACTTCCGTCGTTACTTAGGTAAGGCTCTACTTTATTTATTTTATTTTTTTAAAATCTTTTTTTTAAAGATTTATTTATTATGTACACAGTATTCTGCCTACATACCAGAAGAGGGCACCAGATCAAATTACAGATGGTTGTGTGTAGCTTGAGTTTTCCTGCCTGGCCCACAGTCAGGACAAATCTCTCTCACCTGCCAGTCCCACAGCCGTCAGACCCGACCAAGTAAACAGAGACTTATATTGGTTACAAACTGTATGGCCCTGGCAGGCTTCTTGCTAACTGTTCTTACAGCTTAAATTAATCCATTTCCATTAATCTATACCTTGCCACGTGGCTCGTGGCTTACCGGCATCTTCACATGCGGCTTGTCATCGTGGCGGCTGGCAGTGTCTCTCTCACCCAGCTTCCTGTTCTCTCAATTCTCTTCTCTGTTAGTCCCGCCTATACTTCCTGCCTGGCCACGGGCCAATCAGTGATTTATTTATTGACCAATCAGCAACACATTTGACATACCGACCATCCCACAGCAGTTGTGAGCCGCCATGTGGTTGCTGGGAATTGAACTCAAGGACCTCGGGAAGAGCTGCCAGGGCTCTTAACCTCTGAGCCATCTCTCCAGCCCCACGGCTCTACTTTAAGCCCCCTTGCTTTTTTATTGTTGTTGTTGTTGTTTTTAATTTAATTTTACTTTTCTTTAGAAAACAGGTCTTGATTGGGGGGTACCCCTCAAAGCAGCCCCTGCTGAAAACTTCGAATTCCTGTGTCGATGGTGTCTGGGGGTGAGGCCATGGGGAGGTCAAAATGGGCTAGTGAGGTCAGGAGGGTGGGGCCCCAGGATGGTTAGTTAGTGGCTCCGTAAGAGGAGGAAGAGGGGGGAGCTGCTCAGGCAGTAAGTGCTTGTGTGCAAGCCACCGCTCCAAAAAATAAATAAAATAACCATGTAAAACACCCAGGTGTTGCTGAGTGTGGGCACGTGCCTTCGATCCCAGGAGAGGCAGAGGCAGCCCCATCACTGAGTTGAGGACAGCCCCATTTGCATATGGAGTCCAGGACAACCAGACCCTTTCTCAAAAAGCAGACAAAAGCCGGGTGTAGTGAGTGCATGCTTGCAATCCCAGCACTAGGGAGAAGTGGGTGGACCCTGGAGTGGGTGGACCCTGGGATGGGTGGACCCTGGAGTCGGTGGACCCTGGGGCTCGATGGTCTGCCAGCCTAATGAGCAAGCTCCAGGTCCCAGGGAGAGACCCTGCCTCAAAAAACGAAAACAGTGGGGCTGGAGAGATGGCCCAGAGGTTAAGAGCACCGACTGCTCTTCCAGAGGTCCTGAGTTCAATTCCCAGCAACCACATGGTGGCTCACAACCATCTGTAATGAGATCTGGTGCCCTCTTCTGTGTACATAATAAATAAATCAATCTAAAACAAAAACAGTGAATACTCCTGAGGAATCACACCTCTGGCCTCTGTATACATGTGACTACATGTGCATGCATGCCCACACATACATATATGGGCATGCATGTACACCATAAAACAATGAACAAGAAGGAGGAGGAGGAGGAGAGGGGAAGGGGAGGAGAAGGGAGATAGACTGGACATTTTGTCAGACTCTGAGTAGATGCCACACAGTACTCTTGGTCTTCCCAACATCATTAATCAAATGATTTTTTTAAAATAAATGATGCAGTCTACAATATTGTGTTATAACAACAGAAAGTGAACTGAGACAATACCAAAGTCTATCAGGATTCCAGGGATCATGGGTCCACATTCCCAAATGCTCACAGCAATCCTGCAGGAGACTGAACATCTATGTTATTCCCCCATGGTTCCTAGCATGGAACTAGGCAGGTGTGAGGAGACGGCTCTTGGTGGCAATAAGAATGAACCCGGGAACAATGACATCCCAGGGGACAGGAGCAGACGGAGTCCACAGACTCCCAAAAATGTCAGCTGCACCAGCTGCCCAAACCCCCACCAGATCCTAGTCTACCCTGACAATGGACAAGTCCCAGGCCCTCCACGGAGAGGAGTTAGCTGGTGGGTGGGACAGAAACCCAGCCTGGGGAGGGGGGGGGGGTGTGGGGCTTCAGGGATGCCACGCTGCTGGCTGTCCTTTTGGACAAGGAAGACATGAATTTTCTTGTTGTGGTCAACTACCTGACTAGAGGCAACTTGAAGAACAGGTTTATTCTGGTTCACAGTCTGAGGGTGCAGTGTCCACAGTGGAAGAGGAGGCAGGAGGGGCAGGAGGGAGGGGCAGGAGGGGCAGGAGGGGCAGGAGGGGCAGGAGGGAGGGGCAGCCGCGACATCTGCAGTAGGAAGTAGACAGCGCGAAGGATGCTACTTAGATCACTTTCTCTTTTTCCTTTCTTTCTTTTTCTTTTCTTTCTTTCTTTCTTTCTTTCTTTCTTTCTTTCTTTCTTTCTTTCTTTCTTTCTTTCTTTCTTTCTTTCTTTCCTCCTCTCTCTCTCTCTCTCTCTCTCTCTCTCTCTCTCTCTCTTTCTGTTTGTTTTTTGAGACAGGTTTTCTCTGTGTAGCGTGGTTGTCCTCGAACTTGCTCTATAGATCCAGCTGGCCTCCAACTCAGAGATCTACCTGCTTCTGCCTCCCAAGTGCCAGGGTTGAAGGTGTGTGTGCACCACCACTGCCCAGCTTCACTCTCTCCTTTTTATTCAGCCTAGGCCCCCAGCTTCACGTCATCCACGTTCAGGATGGGCCTTCCTAATCTAGATGACCTCTCACGGAGGCTTGCTGGTTGAAGATCTTGTCAAACTGACAGTCGAGATTAACCATTAACCGTCGCAGGAGACAGAAAAAGGCATGAATGTGTGTGTGTGTGTGTGTGTGTGTGTGTGTGTGTGTGTGTGTGTGTGTGTGTGCAAATGAATGGGGACTGGTGTGTCCCCGGCCGGGTCACCTCATTGTGCCCTCTTCACCTCTCGCCTTGTCTTGACCCCTAGACCAGCCACGTTCCTGATGGAGGTCGGCGTGTGGGCTGCCCTAGGACTCTCCCTCACAGGCATGTCTGGCCTCAGCCTGGTCTCCCCTGCCTGGTTCCAGAGCCCTTCCTTCTCCTATGGTGTCTTTACGTACTGCTCCTGGCCACAGGGTGACCGCTGGAACCAGAGCTGTGTGACCTTTGGGTCCCCGAAGGACATGCCTGGCTTGGCCTGGAAGGTGAGATACAGCTCTCCCAGGGCTGCTGGCTCCCGAGGAGTAGGCTCCAAGGGTCCTTAGCTTACCACCGGCTGTCCCAGTGTATGAGCCCACAGGCTCTTAAGCCCAGAAACTGTCAGAAACACCCAAAGAACTTTGCATAGGGTTCTGGGCTACACCTCTGAGCTCTGGGCTCTGCAGGCATCGGGTAGGGTGTGACTCTGTCTAGAGGCAGCTCTTAGCCCTCGAGAACCCTTGTGCAAGCCAGGAAAAAAATCACCTTCTTCAAGACACCATACTGACACCTGCTAGGAAATCGCTGCCATCCACAAGCAAATCTGTGGCAGCTCTGCAATATACAACCTGCACACCCCGACATGACTCCACTCTAAGCACTGTGGAGTTTAACAAATGAAAGATGAGGTGTTCAGGTCATTATGGTTACACATGTCATAGCGATCAACAGTGGGGAGGGTGATGAGCAGGTACTTAATCCAGCACCTAGGAGGAATATTATACAGCCTTCAAAAACGGATCACAAAGCTGACATTGCAGATTAGGGCCTCCTCCTGGCGATCCTGGCAAGTGCTTACTAAGGGCAGGAGGTAGTGGTTCACTGACCCGGATTCTGCTTCTGTTTATTTGACTAGCTGTGTGTCTTAAGGCAAAGGGCTTACAATCTCTGTTTATTTATAGGGAAAATGGGGTTATAATAACACATAGCTGTTGGGATCATTTCAGGGACTCACTGGGCAACAGGCAGAGTGATTGCCATGTGCCCCATCCCACCTCCCTCTCCTCTCTCCCGAAGGTCTCGGCTGCAATGCTCCTGGGAGGCTGGGTCCTGCTGGCCATTAGCGCTCTTCTCCTTCTGGCCTGGGCACTGGCCCCGAGAAGGTTGTATCCCGGGAGGGGCCCTGGTCCAACACCCATGGTGCAGGCAGCAGCAGGTAGACTCCCGCACACAGTGCTGAGATCTTGGAGGCGAACCCCGAGATTGTGAACTACCCCTGTCCTTCAGCCATTCAGGACTTGGGGACAGGAGGACACACGATGTTGAAGCCACCCACACCTGGCCTTAGCTGACCTAGTGTCTACTCCTATGTCTCTCTGTGGTCCATCCATTCTGTACCTTGTTTACCAGAGCTACCACTGCACGGCTGGATAGGCTGTGCACCGCCCAAGGATGCCCAATCAAGAGCTGAGAAGGTGCTGGGGTCTAGTCCTCGCTTCCCTTCTGCTTCAGTGGAGAAGGGGTCGCTCTTCTCTAGTTCACTGGGAGCCTCTGGTGGCCTGAGCCCCACGGTGGCTCTCATCTAATTCACACACTACCCCTCCCACCCAAGCCAGAATAACAAGGCCCCACAGGCTCCAGCTCAGGCTTCCTCTCCTGCACTGGCGTACGTGATCTCCTCCTGCCCTCCTGCCTCACAGACAGGCCCAGCTGAGGGAAACCAGACCCAACCAGCCGACTGGCTTATCCACCTTCCAAGGGCTTCCCATGGCAGGCAGAGGGAAACCCAAGTCTCTCTCTCCTGCCTCAGCCCTCCCCGTCCTGGCCTCACCTTTCCAGCTGCCGGCTCCTCTCTGGTGCTGTAATCCCACACTCATGCCACAGTCTCCTCCCCTCTGCAGGAATCTGCTTGGACCTTACTTCCGAGCAGGGAGCTGCTTTCTCCTTCTCAGTGGGAGGACCTCCCCCCACCTCCAGCTGTCTGTCTGTTCATTTTATTTCTAGCCTTACTGTCCCCACGGGAGTTTCTTTTGCCTGTATTTTGTAACGGATTCTTGATCTTTCGAGTCTGTGGGAAGAATACACCTAGATACATAGTATGGAAGCTCCCCAGGAATCTGCAATTTGACACCCCAGGATCTACCCTGATGCACTGGGGGTGGGGGGTGGCGATAGGGAGTGGGGGTGACAAACTGAGCAGAAACAAAGTATCACTCTCTGACAGAGCTCTTTCCTGGGGGTCGATTTTCACTTAAACATTCACAAAGCACAACACGGAAACTCTGAAACACAATTTCCTATGGGCATGGTGCTAGGGAGGGAACCTAGGACCTTGGGCATGTATGTGTGCCTCAGTCTCTAGAGTGGGTGGATGGAGAGATGGGTCGATGGATGGATGGGTGGGTGCATGCACAGAGAGATGGGTAGGTGAGCAGGAAGATGGGTAGATGAATAGATGGGTAGATGGGTGGGTAGGCGGTTGGAAGGATGGATGAATTGATAGTTGGATGGATTTGATGGATGGATGGATGAGTGGGTGGATGAATGTGTGGGTGGGTGGGGGGATGGATGGATGGGTGGATGGGTGGGTGGGTGGGTGGATGGATGGGTGGATGGATGGATGAGCGGATGGGTGGGTGGGTGAGTGGGTGGGTAGGTGCATGGAAGGATGGATGAATTGATAGTTGGATGGATTGGTGGACAGATGGATGGATATGTAGTGGTGGTAGGGGGTGGCAGGGTGGTGGTTGAGTCCTGGAATGATAGGTCATCCCAGAAGCCTTTGCCCAAACACTGACTTTCCTTTTCTGCTGCCCCCAGCGGCCTCCACCCTTGTAGGTCTGCTGGTTTTTCCAGCCACTCTGGCTTCCCCGTTAGCCAAAGAAGTCTGTGAAGGCTCCTGCACATACTACAGCGGAACATGCCAGCTGAGCTGGGGCTACGCCACTGCCATCTTTAACGCGGTCCTGACCAGCCTGCTTGTTGTCATCAGATGGCCTCAAACGACTGCGATCCAGAGGACAACCAACCCCTCCTCTAGTGACACTCGGGGAATCACTCTCATGTCAGAATAAGCAAAGGAGCATCACTCAGGAAAAGCAAAAGACAAACAAGAACAATCTACTCTATAGTTGTATGAAATTGCTCCATACTCAGGTTCAAATCCCACCTCCTCTGCTTCTATGCTGTGTGACCTCAGGCAAATCGCTTTCCCTTTCTGGACTCATTTATTCTTTGGTAAATTGGAGGTTGGCCTACTTAGTGGAGTTGTTATGAAGGACTTTGATTTGCCACAGGTAAATCACCTCTTCGTGGGCGAATTCTTGTTTTCTCTCGTCCCTTATAATCCCTCCTCTCTTGCGGAGCTTGAGCATCTTTATTTCCCAGGAGCTGTTTAGTGAATCTGTTGTGTGCAAGGTGCTGACTCCTGCTGGGTGCGGCTCAGAACCCATCCCACCTTCCACATAAGTAGAACACTGATGAGGAAACCCTACTGTTTCTGGGGGCTCAGAGGCCTTCCATTTGTTTCTGATGTCTGCCTGCCTGTCTGTCTCTAGACTTTTTTTAAAAAATGATTTATTTATTTATTATGTATACAGTGTTCTGCCTGCATGTGTCCCTGCAGGCCAGAAGAGGGCGCCAGATCTCATTACAGATGGTTGTGAGCCACCATGTGGTTGCTGGGAATTGAACTCGGGACCTCTGGAAGAACAGCCAGTGCTCCTAACCTCTGAGCTATCTCTCCAGCCCTGTCTCTAGACTTCTTGTCTGTGATGTTTTATGTTGATTGTCCAGTTGACAGGACCAGGAATCACCTCAGGAAGCAACCTCGGGCATGCCAGGGAGAGACTTTCATAATGAGGTTGACTGGGCTGGGAAGATGCACTTGAACGTGCAGCACCATCCCGGGGGCTGGGCTCCCGAACTGCACAAAAGTGAGAAGGTGAATTGAGCACCAGCATTCATCTCCCTCCACTTCCTGACTGTGCGTGCAGAGTGACCAGCTGCCTCTCACTCTGGCCGCCATACCTCCCCTGCCATGATGGGAATCGTGGACTAGAATAAACCTGTTGTAGAATATTATTTTAAGATGTGTTATTTTGTTTATGTTGCATTTGTTTAGCTCTGTGAAGCTGTGTTACTGTGCCTGTCTAAAACACCTGATGGTCTAATAAAGAGCTGAACAGCCAATAGCAAGGCAGGAGAAAGGATAAGTGGGGCTGGCAGGCAGAGAGAATACATAGAAGGAGAAATCTGGGGGAAAAAAAAAGAAGTAGCCAGAGAAGGAGGAGGACATCAGAGGCCAGCCACCCAGCTGTACAGCAAGCCACAGAGGAAGAAATAACAAAAGGTATACAGAAATAAAGAAAGGTAAAAGCCCAAAGGCAAAAGCTAGATGGGATTAATTTAAAGTTAAGAAAAGCTGGCAAGAAATAAGCCAAGCTAAGACCAGACATTTATAGTTAAGACTAAACCTCCATGTGTATATTTATTTGGGAGCTGGGTGATGCCCCCCCTCAAAGAGCAAAACCAATCAACAACTAAACCCCCTGAGACCACTAATCTGTCATCCACTTGACAGGCTCTAGAATCACCTGGAAGACAGACATCTGGACAGGCCTGTGGGGGACTGCCTTGTCTGCAGGAAATGAGGAGGGACCAGCTGCCCACACTGGTTGGCACCACTCCCTGGGTTGGGATCCTGGAGTGTATAAAAAGGAGAGAGGGACCGAGCACCAGCACTCTTTGCTCTCTTTTCTTCACTGGGGATATGCTGTGAGCCTTAGTTTTCAGGTCAGCCGTCCACAAGCCCTGCTGGGATGATCTTTGCAGATGGACACAGCTGGCCTGACAAAGATGGGGGCGGATGGCTTGGAGGGTCATCCTGTTCCACAGCCGTAGAGCTGGGATCCGAAGTCTCCAGAGGGTAGACGGACAGACGATCCCAGTTCAGTTGACATTGTGAGAAAGTCACCCCTATTTCCATTCCTCCTTCACAGCTTGGAACACGATCCTCATTGGGCTGTGGTGTATCTTCAGTGCTTCTCACATCTCTCTCTCTCTCTCTCTCTCTCTCTCTCTCTCTCTCTCTCTCTCTCTCTCTCTGTGTGTGTGTGTGTGTGTGTGTGTGTGTGTGTGTGTGTGTGTGTGTTCTAGTGTGGAGCACAAACGTGTGAGGCCAGAGGTCAGCCTGGAGTGCTGTTCCTTGGGTACCATCTGTCAGGTCCGAAGGAAACTCCAAGTCCCTGAACTCCAAAGGGCAGTCCAAATATCCAGAGATGAGCTCACCCGGGGCTGCAGGAGGCTTCCTGGTGTTTAGATCAAAGCCAGAATTCCTCAGGGACCTGTGAAGCTGGTTCAGCTTTACCAAAATAAGTCATTTCTCTTACCTCTGACAAAAAGGACGTATGGCTCTCCAGTTAGTGTATTACTAACCATGGCGCCTATCAGCATAATCAAGGTCTGTGCCAGCCTCCAGGCTCCCTCAGTCCACACTCACAAGCACTTGTTATATATCTCAAAGCTCCGACAACCGTCTCCTGGCCCTCCCCTCCCCTAGCAACTCACCCTTCTTGTAGCATAGCTATTCTAACTACCCACTATGTTCCTGCTAATCTCACTGTATTTTCTCTGTCCTCTATCCCCTGCTATGTCCCCGTCTCTTGCAGACAGCCCCAGCCATGTCCAGTCGGTTGGCTATGTTCAGGCTACTTCTTCCTCTGCTCTGGACCCTTCCTGATGCCTCCGACTGATCCCATACCATGGAGTGGTCGCGTAGTCCGTTTACACACCATCCACCTGTTTTGAGACAGTGAATCTCAATGGCAGGACTGGTTGGCCAGGGAGCCACTGGATTCCTCCATCTCCCATTTCTCCGGCACTGGCATTCCAGATGTGTAGAGCCACACCTAGCTTTTTTATGTGGGTCCTGGAGACCAAACTCAGGTCCTTCGGTTATTAAGCATTTTGCCCACTAAGCCTCCCACACTGGACTCTCTTCCTCAATGTCCTAGTTTGAATCTTAAGTGCTGCCAGCTTAGTGTGAGGAGGAGGTGATGGACCCTTAAAGAGATAGGGCTGAGAGGGAGGTATTTAGATCACTGCGTGGGGGGGGGGGGCGTGTCCTTGAGGGTAACTGTGGGAGCCAGTCCTGTGGCTTTGCTTTACGAAGGAAGGGGCAGAGGGCTCTGGGCTCAAAGCCTCTGCTGAGAGAGAGTATTTCCAATAATCATTCTCACAGTTTTCTGCTGCCTGTGCCAAAAGTTCTGGCTTCCTCTCTGTGGTTTTAAAAGTGAGTTGGTGTAAGGACACTGTGCCTCGGGAGGTGAGCAGAATCACGCCCAGTGAGGGACTTGGACATGAGGCATGACGACGTAGGTTCGGGGTCGGGGAGAACCTCCTTGGTCATCGGACTGGAGAAAAGAGTGTCTGCCAAGGTCAGAAATGGACAGCACCCCCTCCCGCTGCCCTGCTTTGGCCATCCCTCCTTTTACTGGGGCCTCCCCTGGGAGAGGAGGCGGAGGGGGAGGGAAGGTGACTGGTCCCACCATGCTGACATGAGAAGGTGAGGGCCTCCCAGATGAGAGAGTGCCTGCCTATAATCACAGCACTTAGGGGGAATCGGAAGTTCAAACCCAGCCTCAGCCAGCCTCTGCTGGAAAGGAAGGCCAAGACTAGCCTGGGCTACATGAAACCCTGTCCACCCCCCCCCCACACACACACCCCACAAATGCTGGACGTGGTGGCACACACCGTTAATCCCAGCACCTGGGAAGCAAAGGCAAAGGAATCTCTTGTGTTCAAGGTCAGTTTGCTCTAGATAGTAAGTTCTAGGCCAGCTAGGGCTACACAGTGAGACCTTGTCAAAACAAAAACAAAAACAAACCAAAGAAACAGCAAAATAACTAGACCCACACTTAGGTTTTCCACTCGGCTATATTTGCTCTGAATAGAGCCACCTCTTCAGTAAACACTTACAAGACACTTGGGCAACACTAAGAAGAGAACTCCCTGGGCAGGGGGGACACTCCCCCAAGGCCCAGCATCCAGGACAGGAGAAAACACGACACACAGACATCAGCTGGTAAGTGGAATAAATACGAGGCACTCAGAACCACAAGCACACGCGCTCGGGAGGCACGACAGGGGTCGGAGGGAGATCTTGTGCTATACTCCACACTGGCCAGTTACAAAAATAAATAAGGGTCAGGGGGTCGGGACCCGGCTGTGCTAAAATACCCCCCTTTGTGCCAGCGGCCCTGTGGCAAAATCAACGTTTATCGGACGCCCCTTTCTCCTCCCATGGTGGGAAGCTGGGGGTCTGGTTGGGAGGCGACTGTGGTCACCGGGTGGCCTCCCTTCCTGCTGCCCTGGGCACAAGTGGGGCTGTCCATGGAGATCCATTCAGGGCTCTCTCTGTCCACCCTACCCGCTGGGTGGAGGGCAAAGGTTTTGACTCAGGAGGGCTAACGAGAGAGGACATCACAAGCCTGCAGAGTGGGGCTCAAGGCATCCCCTGGAGATGTTTCAAACCACTCATGTCTCCTCTCTATGAACTCCTGCTTGCTATTCCTTGATTGCCCCAGAGGCTGTATGTAGGTCCTGGGGATGAGATTCCGGTGGGACTCTTGATTTCTGCTGCACCCCACCCAGACCGCTCTACTGAGGGACAGTGGGCGGGTCCAAAAGCTCATTCGGGGTCAGTGTGCGGATCAGCGGGTCTTGGTGTGAAGGTGTAGAGGAACCATTCTCAGACCCACCCCTGGTCCCAGCTCACCATCATGGAACACAGACCAATCCCACCACGGGCCAACCCCTGGCTCATCCCTCCTCTGTCCCGAGAGGACAAAGTGCTTAGAGAAGACCTAGTGTCCCTGAGCAGGGCTTCCACAAACACACACATCTGCAGGCTTCTGAGCCCAGGCCCACAGGTGATGGCTGTGAGGTCTCCCTTAGGGGAGGGGAGTAAGGGTCGGGCTCTCAGGAGTTCCTACCTCCCGCCTACAAACACTGCTTGGATCCCCAGGGCACTCACAGGATGCCTTCCTAAAAAAGAGTCTCCTGGCAGCAGGCAGAGAAAAGTCAGAAAACGCAGAGAGTGAGATCTGACTCCAGCAGGGCTGTAGGAAGCTGTGGGCTTCTGACAGGGCCATGGAACAGACCTCAGCATGAAGAGAACGGATGGGGATAGCTGGTAGCCCCTCCCCCAAGCCAGTGGTTCTCTGGTGGGGCACACCTCTGCTGTGCAGGGACATTTGGGTCACTTTGGGAGATGGTATGGGTGACATCCGGTGGTTCGAAGTCAGGGATGATGCTCAAAGACATCAGGGACTTCAAATGTGAGTAACGCCTAAGGGAGACCCTGCTCCAAGCCAGCCTGGCAGGAACATTCTGGAACACCCTCAGAGGCCCTTCCTTGCCAGGTGCAGAGGAAGCCCCGGAGGCCTCCTGTACAGATGAGGAAGGAACAGGGGACGGAAGAGGGACAACAGGCCCAGAGGCCACCTCTACTTACTCACAACCCCAACTCCCAAGAGGGGGAAATCCCAGTCTTGGGCAATCTTTGGTCAAACAGGAAAACTGTAAGGCTGAGCTGGGCTCTTCTCTACCCCACCACCCAGCGGCCAAGGTCAAGAGTCTGGCTCTCTGGACAGAAGTCCGCACTGGTCCACAGACGCAGGACCTCGTGCTGGGCTGCAGGGGGGAAGGGGGTGGACGACAGCAGGGATGCCTGGCTGCTGCGGCCCCTCACTTGTTCTCGATCAGAATCTGCACTTTGTGCACCAGGTCCCGCGCCAGCTGCAGGATCTGCTTCGCATTGTGCCGCTCAGCCATTTCTGCAAGAGAAGACAGCACTCGTGAGCGGCCTTGTGGGTCAGCCCCGGGAGATTCCTGCGGCGCCTGGTGTGAACTCTAGGGTGTTCCCACCCCACAGAGTGACTCTGAGAAGAGGCATGCACCTCCAGACCTTAGCTTCCTCTGCTGTAAAAAATGAGGGTCGCGCCGGGCGGTGGTAGCGCACGCCTTTAATCCCAGCACTCGGGAGGCAGAGCCAGGCGGATCTCCGTGAGTTGGAGGCCAGCCTGGGCTACCAAGTGAGTTCCAGTAAAGGCGCAAAGCTACACAGAGAAACCCTGTCTCGAAAAACCAAAAAACAAAACAAAAAAAAAAGAGGGTCACAACAAGAAGCCGCTGCACAACATTACCATGGAAACATAAAGAAGTGATGCTGGATCAGAGTGTGTGCTAGGAGAAGGCTGTGTCTTCCACCCTTCCCCAAAGGTAGAATGTCTGTGAATACTTCACAAAGTCCGTGTCAGGCCAGGCACAGCAGGGCACACCTGTAATCCCAGCACTGGGGCAGCTGAGGCAGGAGGATTGGGAGTTGGAGGCCAGCCTGGGATACAGAGCAAGACTTTGTCTCAAAAAATAAAAGGTAGTATAAAGCCTGTGGCAGATTCTTCAAGATGCTGTGGGGATGAAGAAAGCCATGAACGGTGGAAAAGAGAGGGGAAGAAACATCAAGAGCCACACAAAATGCTGAGATCATCAAAGCTTTGCACACAGCGGGATAATTGGAAGCTTGACTTTATCACAGAGAAACCATTTCAAAAAGAGAAAGCTAGCTAAGACCACAGTTCCTAAAGCAGCTGCTGAGGTACCCCTAGGGTTCCTAGTCAACTCGGGGATACTGCGGGCTGTGGAGCATTTGGAGGGACCTCGGCAGCTGTCAGCTCCACACGCATTGCTGGGATGAAAAAGCAAGGACCATGTGAAAGTCTCAAGGGAGCAGGAAATGAGGGGGTGGTGGTGTGTAACCTCATCATGAGGTGTGCAAAGCCGTGCATGGCCTGACAGGTGTGTCTATTCTACAACCAGTGATTTCACGAAGTGAGGGACGATGGGAAATGGGGTTTCCTTCAGGTGGTGTGTGGCAAATAGTTTCTGAGTGTTGAGCACAGGACAAAGGTGTCACACGGTTTGGACCTCACTCCTTACCACTGGGAACTTTGGCTTGCATGGGGTGCATATTGCAGAAAAGTTACGGGTGCCCCGGACTGAGGAAGTTTGGGAACTTCGGGGTGTTGAGGCAGGAGGATTGGGCTGAGGTGTGGAATGTTTTGGGTTCTTGATCACACTTTCAAACTGAAACAAGAAAGATGTGCAACAAGAAAGGATGCTTAGTAAATTACAGGATCGTCATGCGGGGTGCATACTGCAGCCCTGGAAAAGAATCACGTGCGGTAATTTTTGAAAAAGTAGATACAACTGGGGTCTGTGATGGTAACAACAGAAAATAAACAGCCATGGGAAAGAACGGATCGGTAAGTGGAGGGTTAGGACAGTCCTACGTGACCCAGGCTGGCCTTGAATCCACTGTGCAGCTGACGAGGACCTTGAACTTCTGATCAGTTGAGGTTCTCTTTTCAAATTTAATTGAGTTTTTTGAGGATTTCATACATGAGTACTATATTTACATAATTTCTACCTCTTGCTCTCCCCCCACAATTCCTCCTATGCCCCCCCAATTCCTTTCAAACTCCTGGCCAAGAATAATTATTATTGTTACATATGTGTGTGCCTATGTGTGTGCATATAAGTGCTTCCTGCTGAGTCCATTTATATGCATATATGTTTAGGGCTGATCATTTGAGACTGGGTAACCTAACAGGGGGGCTCATCCCTGGGGAAGGTGGATTCTCTCCTAGCCACCGTTGATTGCCCGTAGCTCTTCATCTAGAGGTGGCGGCCTTGTGAGTTTTCACCGGTCCTTGCTGGCTTGTCAACAGGTGCTGTCACTCCTCTGGTCTTGTGTAGGTGACCAATCCTTTTAGATTTCAGGGGTGCAGCTCCCCTATCGCATACAGAAGACACAATCTCGCAGCAGACATTCTGGTCCTCAGAAACAGCCTTTCACAGAACCCAAAATGTCTTCATGATAAAAGCCCTAGAGAGAATAGGACTCAGGGGACACGTCTCTCCATAATAAAGGCTATACAGGAGAGACCCACAGCCAACATCTTCCTAAGTGGAGAAAAACTCAAAGCCACCCCATTGAAATCAGGAAGGAGAGCACTGTCCACTGTTCCTACTCCCTTCTTCTTCTTCTTCTTCTTCTTCTTCTTCTTCTTCTTCTTCTTCTTCTTCTTCTTCTTCTTCTTCTTCTTCTTCTTCTCTCCTCCTCCTCCTCCTCCTCCTCCTCCTCCTTCTCCCTTTTTCTTTTCTTGATTTTTCGAGACAGGGTTTCTCCGTGTAGCCCTGGCTGTTCTAGAACTCACTCTGCAGACCAGCCTGGCCTCAAACTCACAGAGATCCACCTGCCTCTGCCTCCCGAGTGCTGGGATTAAAGGTGTGCCACTACCATCCATCGCCTGGCTTCCCCACTCTTTTTTGATGTGTACTTTAAGCACTAGCTGGGGCAAGAGTCCAGAGAAGGAAAGAAGGAAAGTAAATGGACACAAACTAAAGAGGCCAAACTAAGCATGCCTGGAATCCCAGAACTCAGAACGCAGAGGCAGGTGGATCTCTGTGAGTTTGAGGCCAGCCTGGTCTACAGAGTGAGATCCAGGACAGCCAGGGCTACACAGAGAAACCCTGTCTCAAAAAACAAACAAACAAAAAAAGAAGTCAAACTATTCCTATGTGCAGATGACGCGGTACTGTATATAAGAGATGCTAAACATCCTACCACAAAACTTCGCGAGATGATCAACACTTCCAGCAATGTGGCAGGATACCTAATGAACTTGCAGCATCAGTAGCCTTCCTACACAACAACAGCAAATACACTGAAAGAGATCA